GACTTCCGAATTTATTATTTCCCTGTGAACTATCAAGTCGACCTAGAAGCCGAAATAGGCCGACGACTTCAACGAAGAAACGAAACCGTAACAAGCTACATAACCGACCTACAAACCTTAATGAGAAGGCATGGGAACTTATCGGCCGAACAACAACTAGCCTGGCTATACCGAAATTTATTACCAGAGTTTCGACAACAAATCCGAAAGACGGACTGTCCCAATATATCGACATTCTGTCAAGTAACCAGGGAGTTTGAATTGTTAAGGAAGGAACTTCAGAATGTTCCAACCACGACCTCCGCTCCGAAATATACAGGTCCACGTTACCCTCAGAACGAACCACGGCGTTATTTTTATACTGAACAGCCACGAAGAGCGGAAAATAACTCTGTTCCGGTACCTGTTCCAGTTCCTGTTACCCCTGAAAGGTCGCAAAGATTTGAACCACGACCATCCACGTCCCGTGGAGAAGTGATGTGCTGGAAATGTGGAGAGAAGGAATATGTACGCACGAACTGCACCAACCCTAGTAAGTTGTTTTGTTCCAGATGCCTAAAAGAAGGTATAATGACTAGGGATTGTACCTGTAACCGTCCGGGAAACGAAACAGGAGCTGTCCGGGAGGGAGGTCCGAACAGTTCCAGTCGACACTAGCCTCTCAGGAAACTGTTACCATACCCGACCCAGACTCACGACCACACTTATTCTTGGAAATAGAAAGTGAAAATTTATTGGCACTAATAGACACCGGAGCTTCAAAATCTTACCTTGGGAACCGACTAGCGGAACATCTTTCCCATAACAAGCAACCCAAAAAAGCAGTATTGACCTCTGCGAGGTTAGCCAATGGAACTATAATCCGCATCCAAGATACCTACCAGGTAAAGATGACGCTCGGCAATCAGAAAACTTTAGAAGAAATAGTACACTTTCCAAACTTAAGTGCCGACCTAGTTCTAGGAATGGACTTCCTAAGAAAACACGATTTCAGACTAGAATTGGGAACAAGAAAAATTTCAATAGGTGAGATACCGATGCCACCTATAGACAAAGCCGTTTCCTGTTACCCAATCGGAATAGTTGATGAACCACACATTGAACCGACCCCGACTGTTGCCAGTGAACCCGTAATTGTCAAAGCCGTGATCCATGCCGAACGTGAATATCATACTGTTGTGGATTCTGCTAAAATGGAGGTGAAAAGAGTCCATCTCTCTGAATTCCCTCACTGTGCTGCTCCTATCTGTCCAGCAACCCCAACGACAAGCAAGAAGTCAATGGATTTGAAGTCAGGGTTGCCGAAGACATCAAAGAACAAAAGCAGATACTCTAAACTCAGTGAAAGCCGTGCTGAAGATAATGAGGAGGAAACTAGTATTATAGGCTGTCCGTTACAGGCTATAACACCACTTTCTGAGAGACGGTTAACTCCCGAACAGTCCCAAAAACTAGACGAATTTTTAGAAACCGAATTGTCCGCTTTTCATACTATTCAAGGACCTACTGACTTAGTTCAACATGAAATCCGACTAACAAAATCTGAACCGATTAAATAAAGATACCGACCCCAGAATGCAAGAAGTTATAAATAAAGAGGTGGACAAAATGTTGGACGAAGGGGTAATAGAGCCTTCAAAAAGTCCGTGGAGTTCACCTGTGGTAATTGTAAAAAAGAAAGATGGGAAATACCGATTTTGCATCGACTTCCGAAAGGTAAATGAAGTTACCATGAAGGATGCATACCCCTTACCATACATGAATGCCATTTTGGATAAACTGAGATTCGCTAGGTTTATTACAAGCTTAGACTTAAAAAGTGGATATTGGCAAGTCCCACTTTCGGCTCACAGTAAACCGATAACTGCCTTTACCGTACCAGGCCGAGGACTTTTCCAGTTTCGAGTTATGCCATTTGGCTTGCACTCCGCTCCCGCGACTTTTCAAAGACTGATAGATCAAATTATTGGCCCCGATATGGATCCGCATGCTTTCGCAGACTTAGATGACATAATTATCTTGGGAGAAACCTTCGAAGCTCATCTGGAAAATTTGAAAGAAGTTTTCCGACGTCTAAGAGAAGCTAAACTAAAAATAAATTTTGAGAAATGCCATTTCTGTTTACCCAGTATGAAATACCTAGGGCACATAGTAACTGGGGATGGGATTAGCACAGAACCCGAGAAGATTGAATAAATTATGAAATTTGAAGCACCGAAAAATATCCGAGAACTCAGGAGATTTCTGGGAATAGCATCCTGGTACCGCAGGTTTGTACCGTCCTTCTCCCAAGTAGTATCTCCACTTACAAAATTACTGAGGAAATCCTATCGTTGGCGATGGCTAGAAGAGCAAGAGACTGCTTTTCGTAATTTGAAAACAATTTTAACGGAAGCTCCGATACTCAGTTGTTCCGATTTTAATCTCCCGTTTACGTTACAAACCGACGCTTCCGATCATGGCCTAGGAGTGGCGCTGACACAGAATAAAGATGGCATTGATTTTGTCATCGCATATGCCAGCAGAACTCTAAGTCCGGCCGAGAGGAATTACTCTGTTACCGAAAAAGAGTGCCTCGCCATAGTCTGGGGAATTGAAAAGATGAGAGCCTACCTAGAAGGGTACCACTTTACCGTCCTCACTGATCATCAATCTCTTAGATGGTTACATTCCATCGTGAGTCCGTCCGGCCGACTAGCAAGATGGAGTATATTCTTGCAACAATATGATTTTGATATTAAATACCGCAGAGGAGCTTTAAATCGTATCGCCGATGCCTTGTCCAGAAATCCCTTACCCACGACCGAAAGCCCATCAAGCATACCCGACATGTGCACCTTAGACGAAGATACGAACTGTAAATGGTATTCGACCAAGAAATCCGAGGTTGAAAGAAAGCCACTCGAATATCCAGACTATTGCATTAAGGAAAATCATCTGTACCGACATTTTTGGGACATAAATGACTATAAAGAACCCGAATTGTCCGATCCTTGGAAGTTGTGCGTTCCTAAATCACAGAGAGACCGAGTATTAAAAGAAAACCATGACGCACCGAATGCAGGTCACACTGGGGTGGCGAAAACTATAACTCGTATAGCACGACAATATTATTGGCCAGGAATGTTTCGAGATATTACTAAATACGTGCGCAGTTGCCTGACCTGTCAACGATATAAACCTTCTCAACAACAGATACCAGGGAAAATGCAACCCTCACCGAATCGGCAACCCTGGGAGGTTGTCAGTACCGATCTTGTAGGACCTCTACCCCGAAGTAAAAAGGGAAATGCTTATATTGTCATGTTCATGGACCGATTCACCAAATGGGTACAGTGTAGAGCAATACGTTCCGCTATAGCTAAGAGTGTTAGCACCGTTTTTTACGATGATGTGGTCACTACCTTTGGATGCCCAAAAGAGGTTATCACCGATAATGGTACCCAATATACGAGTAATCTTTTTGAATCCGTTGTAAAAGGACTTGGTATCCGTCACCGTTGTACGCCAGCATACACTCCACAGGCTAACCCAGTCGAAAGGGCAAACCGCACAATTAAGACGATGACAGCCCAATTTTGCGAGAACAACCACCAAGAATGGGACTTACATTTATCCGATTTAAAATTCGCCATCAATACCTCCCGGCATGAATCAATTGGTTATTCTCCAGCTTTCTTGAACTTTGGAAGGGAGTTAGTTGTCCCTAAATCTCTACGGCAAGAAGCGGAAGGGAAAAATCAAACAGCCGAAACTAAAGAGAACGAAGATACGATCCCCGAAAACTTCGTGCAAAGATTAGGCAAACTCAAAGAGTGTTTTGACCTAGCCCGTCTTAATCTTTCTCGAGCTTTCACTTCACAGAGTCACTATTATAACCTTCGACGTCGAGATTGGAAATGTACTCTAGGAGACCTAGTTATGAAAAAAGAACACACCTTGTCATCCGCCATTGATCATGTCGCCGCTAAATTGGCACCGAATTATTCTGGACCATATACCGTCGTAAAAGTCGTATCCCCCGTAGTCTTTAACCTAAAAGATGCCACCGGAAAAAGACTCAATCAGGTGCACATCAAGGATTTAAAACCCGCAATCGAAAACGAATAGTTTGTATCTTTTGCAGCCATGAATAGAAAACCAAAAACCGACGCCATCCCAAAACTAATCCCGTTAGCAGACCGGAAGCGGAAAATGACCTCCGAGGCGCTAAGAATTCTGGCTGCCAAACGGGTAGCCTACCGCTTGAAAAACGCCAGGCCATTAGACCAAACTGTAGACTAGGTGACACCCGAGCCTCCCCAAAAATAATCATTCTACAGGATATAGCGTTACCCACCTGGAAACCACAGGATGAGCCCAGGGAAGGTCCCTTAAGTCCGGTAGAGGTACGCGACCTGCTTTGGAGGGACGCCGAAGCCGGGTGGGCAAATTACGAGACCCCGCCTCCTAACTCCCTCTTTACCGACCCCCCGCAGCGTGGCCCAGGTTATGCAAATTGGATGCTGAAAAATGAGCTGGCCCAAGCTCTTCTTTCAGTGATCGAGAGATCCACTTCAGATATAATATCCCCGGAATTAGTGGCCCGGGCGCAAGTCCTTCGACCACCGAACTCCGATGTCCACCAGTACCGGCTTTCGTTTAACTACAAATCTCGATGGTTTCGGTTTACTCTACCGGCCCTCCCATCATAACGGGAGGGCCGTTATGCCACCATTTTTTTCTTTTCATGTAATTAATCATAGTAAAGTTAAGTTGTTTTTATTAATATTGAAAATTTATTTTTTTTGTTTCCTACACATTAAATAAATAAAAAAAAATGTTTCTTTTTGGCTGCCAAAATTCGGGTATTTCTGAATGAAGTACATTTTTTTTTCTCTCTCTCATTCAGTATTCCCGGAATCTCCTTCACCATCATATTCATGTAAGGTATGAAAATCACCGACACCCAGTGTATGCAGTATCTAGTCCACTGATGAATTATAATATATTTCAGTACCATGTCAGTTATTCCAAACGCCACGCTCGCCGAGTTCCACGAGTATCTGGATGAGGATACCGGTCGAATCCACGTAATCTACTTTCCCAAGCATCGTCCGTGCCTGGAAACCGAAAAATTGTCGCCGTCCATACAGACATCACCGCCACCCACCGCACCGTCGCCGCCACTCTCCTCAGCATCGCTAATGGAGTTTTCCCCTTCTCCTGGCTGCCAATTTTTAAGAATTGGTCTAGACATTTGTTGGCGCTATGGTGGCACCGGGCATCACCGCAACGTTTGTACACGGCCACCAATCCTGTTTTGCTCCCGTTGTGGTCAAATAGGCGTAATGTCAAGGAATTGTCCTTGCTAGTCACCTTCCAGTGATTCCGTTAAGAATATATATACATATTTTTTTTTCTCTTCCTCTTCTCGTTTATCTTTCTCCTTTTGGTGAGGAGTATTGCTGTTCCTTATTGACAGAATGTCCCGTTTAAGTTCTTTATAAGATCGTTTAGAATGCAAGTTTGTTTTTCTATGGCACCGATCAAGACCCCTCAGAGGACCGACCGAATATTTAGGGTTCAATTTTTGTTTTCTCGACGAAAGATTTTTCTTTTATTGTCTTTTAGTGACATGGACTCCGATACGTCATTCGAAGTACTAAGCCTGGCTGGATCAGCTCTGCCCGATGACGAAACAGAACCACCAACTTCAACTTTACAGGAAACGTTACCTATCGTAGTAGCTGACTTTACTCCTGTTGAGTCTGATACCGCCAAGTGGCGATACGATCCGTATGTCGGGAGCCAGTATTCTGAAGTCTCTCAAACAAGACACCTTCCGACCCGCACCAGACAAATGCGAATAGTAGATGCTCAAGAGCCGGCCACCAAGAGAGTACGGTTTCCCGAAACTCCCGTATATCTTCCAGTGGATAAAAAGCTATGTTGGAAGTGTGGTTATCCCGGTCACCGTAGGAATTCCCGCAGTGGAAAGAAACTTTTATTTTGCTCACGTTGTGGTCTAGTAGGTACTATGTCCAGAAATTGTGTGTTCTCAGCTTACGACACCACTAAGTATATACTCTACAAACCATAGCTTCACATTGCGCTTCCGGTCAGTTGGAGTGCAAGCTGACCTATGTCCGCGATGCCGTAGCATCAGAATTCAATGTAACAAAAACTGAGGACCAACAGAGAGCAAGCCCGAAAAAGAAGCAAGAACAGAAGATAAATGAAGAATTTTAAAATTATTTTAAATTTGTATATACTAGGTAGGTTGGAAAGAAAAAATAAGCGTAAACTATGTTCACTCTTATTTTTTTTTTTTACCGAAGCAAGGGGGGAATGTAACGAAGTTACTTTTATTTAGTTATTTGTAAAAACATAGAATCCGTCAAAAAAAATCGAATTTAGCATTTTTTTAAATATACCGAAGTTACTTTAATCGAATTACTTGAAAAACATAGAATCCATCGAATTTAACATCGTATTTAAATTTCAGTTACTTGCCATTGGATCCTTATATTAAAATGTAACCAAGTTTCTTTTATTTAAATTATGAAATGCAATCGAAAAGCCAGATTTAAACGCATTTTTATTTTATTTTTACTAATTACCATAAAAACTTCACGTCGAAATTCGATTTTCATCGAATTCTGTGTTCGAAACCCTTCAGTCATCTATAATTGTTGTCAGTGAGCGGCCGATCACGGTAGCTATGGCAACACTTCTACGCGCGTTGCGACCTATAAAAGGAGCAAGCAAAGCGAAAAGCAGTTGGTGAGTCATTCGAGATCCAGCAACTGTACGAGACGGTACTGTGTGACGAGCGGACTAGAACAGCCGAAGCAAAATCAGAAGCGTTGCGGAAGTCACTGCGAAAGCACACTCCCGCTGAAGCACCTGAAGCAGAAGCACCCTAGGTCATATTGAGTATTTTTATCTAGTATTTTTGAAATTTCTTTTCAGAAATTTTAATTAGAAAAATAATTAGAAAAATATTTCCAAAGAATATTTCCTAAATAACGAACAAACCAAAAAGCCCTATTTCGAAAAATTCTTTTTAGAGTTTTTCTTAAAAAGAGGCTAATTTTTCGAATAAGATTTGGTACTGATAACACTAACCCCATTTTTTACAGGTAAATAGCCCAATTTTGGAAAATTTCTTTTTAGAAATTTTCCTTAAAAAAGGTTATTATTCGCATTGCGAATTATTCGAATAGATTGATCTGTCATCATTTAAATAAACGACTTCTAATCCATTTCTTCTAGCTTGGGACTACCAGACGACTTCAAGACTTAGGACCTAAATATTGTAAGTATAAACAAACTAACAAATGTCATCCGACTAGGGTCAAGCCACCATTGCCGGGGTTAATAGCCCTTGAGTTGTGAGGTTGCAACTCACTAGTCGGATTAGGGACTCCCAAATTACTATCAAACTCAGCGAATTCCCCCAACAAACCTTCGTCACCACCATGGTGGTGACAAGAAAAAACTCCTACGCCGGATCGGCGGCTTCTGCCCCGCTGCAATTCGGCCAAGGCCCTAATTCTATGGCCACTATCTCCTCCCCTGCCTCAAGCCATAGAAGTTCTAGCTCAATCCCTTCACTCATGGATCAAACGATCATCAAACCCTCCAACATTTTTCAAAATCTCCGTGAAAACTCCCCCCTAAAAACTCAACAACCCGCCCCAAACCCCACACTACCCAACAACCCCCTAACAGACCCCTCCGCCCCACTCAAACACTCTTCGTTCTCAGGAACATCCCCGCCGCCTACTCCACCCAAAAAGCCTTATTCAATATATTGAATACCCAAGAACTATTCCGTTCCAACCTTGTTTTTGTTAAGGCTAACTTTAACAAAACGGCCCTAATCAAAACCACTTCGTCCAAAACCTCCACCGAGCTCCAGACCCTCATAAGGCAGCGAATGGGGGATAACAAACTTATCCTTAATCCCAAATACGCCCAAAACCCCCCTGAAAAAATCACTCGATCCCCCCCTGCCCCCCAATTCTCCCTTATCCGCCAGGTTGATAAAAACATCTCTTTAGAAGAAATCCAGGCGGTTCTCGAGGACCTTAGCGTCCCCTATACGAAAGTATGGAGGATAAGGTCCCAGAAAACCCTCGAATTTACTTCTTTTATCAGGGTGTTGACTCCTTCAGAGTCTCACTATTCTTACTTAATCCGAGAGGGCTTCGGCATCTACGGCCGTAGACACCCAGTCGAACCCTCAAACCAAAACCCCCTGCCTCCCATTCCCAAATATTGCACTCAGTGCACCGGCCTTGGTCATTCGGCCTCAGAATGTTCCAAAAAACCCGCCTGTCCCAACGACGGGCAGCACCATAGGCCAGCTGACTGTAAAAAGTCAGAGGTGCCAAAATGTCCTAACTGCCGCGGCAACCACCCCGCATACTCAATCACCTGCCCCGAAAGACAAAAACCCCCCCAGAAACCTGAACAGGTTGCCCCCGTCTCCCTCCCAACATCCACCCCCCCCAAGAGCTAACATCAGAGCTCAAAATATCAATCCAAATATTTTCTACTCTTCTGATGAACCTCCTCCCAAATAGTAGAGAAATACTCACTAAAATCCTGGGAACGCTAATCCCGGCCATATTCGGCCATTCATGCACCGTAACAGGTCATGGAAATTTAGCAATTTTCACCTACTCCCCGATAAACCCTGACCTTTAATGGATTGTCTTATCGGCACAATTAACTGCAATGGCCTCGCTCGGAAGAGGCCATTAATCAAAAATCTCCTAAATTCTGAAAATCTACAAATATTGTCTCTTACCGACACTTCCCCCCAGCTTCACTGGGTATCAAACAGTCCATTTAAATAAATCCCAAAACTCTTTTGGGAATGCACTTTTAATCAAAAATTCAATTCCATTCAACTCTCACACTTTTCCAGCTCATCTAGCTGATCTTGATATAATAGCAATAGACCTCCCGATAGACAATCCATTAACTATTATCTCGTACTATAACCGCCCAGGCCAAATCATCTCCCTACCACTGATAGAATATCTATCTTCCCTCCCTCGAGCCGTTTTGCTTGGAGATTTGAACTCCAGACATACCATGTTCGGAGATCACGCCTCTAACCCAAACGGAATCCGATTAGCTAATCTGCTCATAGACTTCCCCATATTCAGAGCCTCAAACCGACTTCCCACCTTCGTATCCCACCTGGGATCATCTATCATTGACCACATCCTCCTGACAGACTCCTGTACTGGACTGGTTGCTGATAGATGCTTCATAGGTGTTACGATCACCTCCGATCACCTTCCTTTGATGTTACACACATCTCTACTTGCTCCAATTCCTCCTAGAGCTACCATTCACACCTTCCGCAACCTCAAAAAAGCAGATTGGCCCCTATTTCAGAGAACTATCTCTACTAACATTCCAGAGCAACGCCCGCTCAACTCCCCACAGGACATCGACACCCTAATCGATGAAGTCCAAACATCCATCACCCACGCCGTCGAAACATCCACCCCTATCACTTCAATAAACACAGCCCAAAAAGCCCTCCCCCAATTCATCCTCACTCTCATCTCCCAAAAACGACGCCTGTATAGACAATACGTCCGTACCCACGACCCTGTCATCAAAACAGAATGGAACCGTCTCAACGCCCTGATCAGGCTCCAAATCAACTTGCACAAACAGCAACAATGGATCAATACCACCTCTAATTTGGATCATAGAGACGGCTCCAAGTTTTGGGACAAATTCCGTATAATCACGGGTCAAAAATCCAAAACCCACTCACACCTCCTAATCGACGGTCAAATTCACGCCTCCCCCGACGAGAAAGCCCTGGCCCATAAAACTCACCTCGAAGCCACATTCAGAACCCCCGACAACCCCCACTTTGACGAACAATTCAAAATCGAGACCGAACATCACGTCCTTCAGATACTTGCCGCCCCACTCCCCCCTTTGGATGTCGAAAACCCCCTTACCGCCCCATTTACCCCCCAAGACATCCAATACGCCTGCCAAGCAGGCAAAAACACGGCCTCCGGGCCTGACTCCATTCACAGGAGAACACTGAAACATCTTCCTGAAACCATATTTCCTATTATCACTCTTATCCTAAACTCCTGCCTCTCCTTATCCTATTTTCCACTTGCCTGGAAATCCGCAAACACCATTTTGATCCCCAAACCAGGCAAGGACCCCAAATCCCTAAATTCATACAGACCCATCTCTCTCATATCAGTCCTAGGTAAACTCCTCGAGCTTCTGCTCAAGGAAAGAATCTGGGAATTTTGTGAAGAGAGAAACATCATACCCCAATCCCAACATGGTTTCAGACCCCACCACTCCACCC